TTGATTGTCCAGCTCTCACATCTGTGCATGCTACTGGAAAAAACATAGCTTTGACTGTACAGACCTTTGTTGGCAAAGTAATGTCTGCTTTTCAGTATGCTCTCTTGGTTTGCTACATTTCTGCCAAAGAGCAAATGTCTTTTAACTTGCTGTGAAATTAAATAGCTTGCTTTCAAGGAGCAAGTGTCTTTAAATGTGACTTGAAGTCCAATCTTCTCAGCCCAGATGGTGCTCACTTCAGTCAGTTCAGTCACTCAGACTTGTCTGACTCATTGTGGACTTCATCATGCCAGGTGGTGCTAGTGGTAAAAACCCCACAAGACAATGCAGGAGACTTAAAAAACGGGTGTTTGATCCCTGGGTTGGCAGAATCCCCTGGGGAAGGAAATCACAGCCCACTCCCGTATTGTTGCTTGGGAACCCATGGACAGAGGACTGTCAGGCTACGGTCCCTGGGGTCCCAGAGAGTCAGACATGACTGAAGTGACTTAGCAGGACCCAGCACAAGCCTGAAATAGAGATGCTGTTTTCCAGGGACGATCTGTAAATAAGGATAACGTCTCAATAATTTTACTTCTAGTAGTGAAACTTATGACTGACAGAGTTGGCTGATAAGAACAAAGGTCTATCCACCCACCAGTTGAGTGACACTTGTTTATTACCAGTATGTATGTGGCTTTTCATTTCAGAAAAGGCAAAACTACAGTCACAGAAGCCAAATTAATGGTTCTTAGAGGTTAGGATTTAAAGAAGCTGATTGTCTGCAAAAGATTCTTTTGGGGTTATTGAACAGATGGTGCTAGTGGTAAAGAACCTGCCTGCCAATGCAGGAGATGTAAGAGACATAGGTTTAATCTCTGGGTGGGGGAGATCACCTGGAGGAGTTAATGGCAACCCACTCCAGTATTCTTGCCTGGAGAATCCCAGGGACAGAGGAGCCTAGCAGGCTACAGTCCATAGGGTCTCACAGAGTCAGACATGACAGAAGTGACTTAGCATGCACAACTGCCTACAGTTTGATTAGATGATTCTTATGCAACTGTATACATTTGTCAAAATTTCTTGAACTCTGTGCTAAAAAAGTGTAAGCTTATTGTATGCAAAGTACCTGAGTAAAGTCAGATTTTATTTTTCATATGTCAAAACTACACTTCTTTGTTTTATTTCTTCCATTTAACTTAAATCAATTATGTAACTCTAAAAGTAATCTACTTTTAATAGAATAACTGCAAATATCAAATATCAAAATTTAAAAATGAACATGGCATTTTTCTGTCAACCCTGTGTACTGCACTTCTTATAAAAACTTGATATCAACCACTTAAACATTGTATTGTGAGTTTTGTTTTTTAATTTTGTGTTTGTGAATTACTCATTAAAAATAATTATTTTTAAGAGTGATTCTGAAACCACTTTTTTGTTCTATATATTTTCTTAACTACTAAAATATCTTACACTTAGACATACTTGATGTATTTAAAGATTGACTTCTCATAAGGCATTAGTATAAACCTAAATTGCCTTCTTGATATTAGACTTGGGCTGTATAATTTATTATTTGCATTTTAGTATGACAGTAAGGCCACTTCCCCACAAGAGAATTGACTGTATGTAGGATCTGTTCATAATTCTTTAATTTAAAAAAGAAAGAAGTCTGACATATACAGACTACTATATATAAAACAGACAACAAATAAGGACCTACCATATAACACAGGGAACTCTACTCCATACTCTGTTATAGCCTATATGGGAAATGAACCTTTTAAAAAAGTGTGTATCTTTAACTGATTCACTTTGCAATGCATTTGAAATTATACATTATAAATCAACCATATTCCAATAAAGTTTGCTTTTAAAACAAAAAATAAGCCTGAGATTTGTTCAAGATTCTCATATTTGCAAGTAATGATACATACATAGTACATTCGTGTCTCATTTTTAGCTTGGAAAATCATAACCTTTCACTGAGATTGAAGAAATAATTTGCGTTCTTACCATCCAGGTTACTGCCTTAGACTCACTCTTCATTATTTTTTCCGCATTTGCCATCTTGTATGTAGTCCTTTTTCTCCTGCTGCTTCACACTTCAGATTTATAAAATATGTCTAGATTCTCCTCTCTAGTACTTACTTAAGGTGCCAGACCATTGCCTATTCTTTAGTACCACAAGTGATGATGCTTTCACTTAACTTCATACCCTAGAGGTACATATTTATAGATATATATTTTTTCACTGTGTATTTTCCAAAAATTTTAAATGTCTTAGTACCATTGAGAAAAGACTAAAAAAATGTTAATAGTTTTTCCTCTTTTTTCTTTTGTAACTAGCTTTCTGAAATAGTAGGGGCAATTGTAAAACAATTCCACTGTTTTACCTCCCACCCCTGCACACTTGATTCACACGAAATAATTTAGACTTCACAGCTCTTTTTTTACTTTTTAAAAACAAAGTCTTCAAATATGCTTAGTCAAAGTCATCTCAGCTAGGAAATGAATACTCCTTACTCAGTGTAAACAGATCAGTTTGGGTCAACATGACTCAAAGTTAAATCTTCTATTCCCTAGCTTAACTTCAATAACCAGGACTACACTGAAAAAACATATAATGCTTTTCTTATCTTTACAGTAGATTTACCCAAAACCACTGCATTATTTGTGTGTATATATATACACACATACACAATGGGCCAAGTAACTGTAGGTAAGAATGAAATTTTGCCATTTTAAACAAGATGAATGGACTTGGAAGGATTATTCTTTGTGAAATTTGTCATACAGGGAAATACAAGTACAGTATGATATCCCTTATATGTGGAACCTAAAAAATAAAGAAAATGAAAGAATATAACAAAACAGAAACAGATTTATAGATACAGATAACAAGCAAGTTGTTGCCAGTGGTGAGAGGGAAGCAGAGAGGGACAAAATAGGCGTATTTGATTAAGAGGTATTAAGTGTTATATGTAAAATAAAGGCTTTCCAAGGACATACCATACAACACAGGACGTATAACCAATATTTTACAATAACTCTAAATACAGCATAATATTTAAAACTTGTGGATCTCTGTGTTATACACCTGAAACTGTTGTAAATCAACTATATGTCAATTAAAAATTATTTAAAAACAAATTATTTTAAAGATTTGCTAAAACGTTTTAGGTGAAAGTTGATTATAAACAGAGTCTCTAAATTAACACTCATCTTTACACAGAATGACAATAACTGCAGAAAAATAATAGAATTGATCTTTAAAAATCACCATTTTCTAGACAACAGTGAAATAACTGCTTGCAGCCTCAGGTCATAAGTAGATTCTACAACCATTAGTTAAAAATTTTGGAGAAATAATATCTACAAAAATGTTAACATTTACAGGAAAGATAACTTGTCAACTGTAAAAATTTCATTTAAGGGTGAGAAAACCAACTGTTACTAGCAATTCAGATTTAAATCAATTAGCACCAGTGGTGATGGCCATGCTTCTTGGACTAAGAAGGTCACTTGACTTGATGCAGTACAAAGTAATAAGATGTCACCTTAAATATTTTAGCTTAATTAACTATATCTCTGTTTTAATAATAAAATTTTTATGATATTTAGAAATTTTAAATGTTTATAGTTAACTGATTTAAGCTTAATATACTGTTTAAAATGTATGAACATAAAAATCACATTACAGACTGGTGGTGAAGGTTTCTAAAATGCTCTGTACTGGCAAAATCAGGAAAACGTTACTAGACCTACAGTTCATTACCAAATCGATCTCTAAAGCTCACGCTGTTTCACTTTGCATATTTCTTTATTTTAGAAAATATTTTGTGGTTCAAAGTTGATATACATTAAAGACAGAAAAATTCAAGAATTCATGTAAGTAAAAAGAAGTTAAACACATTTTACACCTATTATCTGTGAATTCAACTCTAGCTCTACTAGATATTTTCTTACACTTCTTGCCAATATTTTTCTATAAAGAGTTATTCAACGTTTAAAGCAGAGTTTCTTTATGTGTGTGTGTTTATATTTAATGTTGAATTTTTTAATCACTTATATGCCATGTTATAGTAGTTATGCAATGTGATTCTCATTGTTCTTTATTTGAGTTATTATTCGTACTTTGATAAGCATCTTGTAAAGTATGATGAGATCCAACCCGTCCAGCCTAAAGGTAATCAGTACTGAATGTTCACTGGGAGGACTGATGCTGAAGCTGAATCTCCAATACATTGGGCACCTGATGTGAAGAGCTGACTCATTTGAAAAGGCCCTGATGCTGGGAAAGATTGAAGGAGGAAGGAGAAGGGGATGACAGAGGATGAGATGGTTGGATGGCATCCCTGACTCAATGGACATGAGTTTGAGTAAACTCCAGGAGTTGTTGATGGATAGGAAGGCCTGGAGTATTGCAGTGCATGGAGTCGCAAAGAGTCGGAAACGACTGGGTGACTGAACTGAGCTGAAAATAATATGTATTTTATCATTTTTGGTTTATTCATCTACTGATAGATGAGCAAAGGTAACATAAACTACTGATATTTAATTACTGACAGAAGTATGACATAGTTTGCCTTTATATGTTTGTTAAGTGATATTATCAATATTTTGAAATTTTTCTACTTCTCTCCACATATTTTTTCTCCATGTATTCTAAAACAGAGTTTCAGAAAGCCTCACAAGTAATCAAGAAAGCTTAGGAAACTGATGGATGGAAGGAGGCATGGAAGTGATTGAATCTAATTTCTTGCTTTAAATGTTTCATGAACAGGACACATAACATTTTGATTTGCCAAGTTTAATGAGGTACTTTTAAGAAGTGAGTCATTGGTCTCCCATCCCTCAATTACATTGTCCCCATAATATTTAACACAAATCTGATTTATTATTCAAGATCAGTTAAAAAATACTTGATAAAAATATTTGATAAAATACTGAATTAATTAGGAAAAATCTGAATACATGTACATATTTCAATTTTACAACTGCATTTAGACAAAGTTTTATCCACAGCTAGGATATACCACCTTTCCTTCCCGACAAGTTGTTCGAAATGTGTGACGGGGTGTCACTGGATGATAACCACGTTGACACGTAAATTCAATATTATCTCCTGTTTTAGAATACAATTTTGTATCATGTTTCCATCTTAACTGTATGTGATGTTTTCTCATTGTTTCTTCTGAAATTACACATGCTTCTAAAGTTAAAGAAAATAAACATGAACCTTTGATTAATGTGCAAATATTTTCTACAGAATTTCAGGGTTTCAAGAAATTTGGTTCAAAAATTCTTCCTCGAACCTTTTCCAAACCAATACACTGAAAATGTTTAACATAGGTATCATCATATTAACAGAATGAATGTTATAAGAATGAGATACTTTGCTAGTTTAATCATTAAATGTTATAATGAAAGATCCATAATGTCAGTTGTCATATGAAGAGCTTTCATAAAGGAGCCATTGTTGCTCGAACATGAAATTTTCTAACTTTATTTCTATATACAGATATTAATACTTGGTGGTCAAGCATGCAACAGAGTGGTTGTTATTTAATCCTCTAGAGGTTAGAAAACCTCTACTATAAACAGTTAAACATCGTGCTGAGTATAAGCATTATCCCAGGATCTGGGAGAAGTTTAAAGCATTTACCTAAGCATTTTGGTGGTTCTGACCACTCTCCACTCCAACATACTACGTTTCTGTTTCCCCGAAGTTCATAGTAGGCCTGACACCGGTACTCAACAATCATTCCTGAAGGGTACACTGACTGCAGGAGTGAGGTGATGTCTCCGTTGTCTATTGGTGGAGGAGGCCCACATTTTCCTTGAGGGTCTAAAAAATAATGGCATTTGCTTTATTCAAAGAACACCACTACAGTTTTAAAAGAATAAAATAAAAATGCAAATATGTCATATCAAAACTTATGATTTCTGAACAGAAATGATTTATAGAAGGAATTTTAATCACTTAATCAAAAATACACATTTTAAGACCTTATTTTACCACCATGAAAGCACATATAGTACTTTAACAAATATGTCTGCTTTACAATGAACTGATGTTCAAACATGTTTTATTTCAGAATATATGCTGGATATATGGATAGCTAAGATTAAAAAAAATTACCCTTTTATACAACATGCTGCAGTGTCTGTGAAAGGAAATTTTGCCTTCCATTTCTGGACAAGATGAGGTAAAAATATTTGTGCTTATAGCATCTGCTAAGGATTCCTTCTGCCAAATAAAGGTCCTGACCATATTATAGAAACCAACACAGGAGACTGTGAAATAACTAGTAAGTCAATCTGCTTAGGGAGCTTGGGATTCAAAGAGTTACAGTGATGTGAGTCCTTGGGGTTTTCATTTTGCCTTCTATGAATCCTGAATGAGCCCCTGAGACTGCAACTCAGAAATAATACAAGATCAGAAAGATAAAAATCTCATGAAGCAGTTGATGTCTTTAAGAAAAGGCCCATAAAATAGTAGCCTAGCAAGACACAAACAGTTTTCACAATACTGACTTAGTCTAGAAATACACCTTGTGTGCACCAGGACCCAGAGATGCCACAGAGACTAAGCCAGATCTCTGTCTAAGTGTCTCCCGCAGAAGTACGGGTGAGCAGTGGACTGCTACACGGGCAGGCGCTCTGGGTGCAGTAGACCTGGGTTTGGCATAAGCCTGCTTGGAGGAGGTGGGAATTAACTCCACCATAGAGCCGGCAGAAATTACAGAGGACTGTGGAGACAGACTCTCAGAGGGCACAGACAAAACCTTGTGCCCAACAGGACCCAGGAGAAAGCAGCAGAGATCCCACAAGAGACTGACCAGACTTGTCTGTCAGTGTCCAAGAGTCTTCAGTAGAGGCATGGGCTGGTGTGGCCTGCTGCAGGTTTGGGGGCACTGAGTGCAGCAGTGCATGCATAAGACCTTTTGAAGGAGGTTGTCATTATCTTCTTTATCTCCACCATATTTGGCCACAGGTCAAAAAGAGCGAGGGAACATGGCCCCACCCATCAACAGAAAATTGGACTAAAGATTTACTGAGCATGGCCTTCCATCAGACCAAGACCCAGTTTCCCCCTAAGTCAGTCACTCCCAATAGGAAGCTTCCATAAGCCTCTTGTCCTTATCCATCACAGGGCAGACAGAATGAAACCACAACCACAGAAAACTAAGCAATCTGATCACATTGACCACAGCCTTGTATAACTCCATGAATCACTGGACATGCTGTATAGGGCCACTCAAGACAGACAGGTCATGGTGGAGAGTTCTGACAAAAAGTGGTCCACCAGAGAAGGGAATGACATATCACTTCAGTATATTTGCCTTGAGAACCCCATGAACAGTATGAAAAAGCAGAAAGATGGGATACTGAAAAATGAACTGCCCAGGTTGGTAGGTGCCCAATATGCTACTGGAGATCAGTGGAGAAATAATTCCTTAAAGAATGAAGAGACAGAGGAAAAGCAAAAACAACATCCAATTGTGGGTGTCACTGCTGATGGAAGTAAATCTGATGCTGTAAAGAGCAATATTGCATCAGAACCTGGAATGTTAGGTCCTGAATCAAGGCAAATTGGAAGTGGTCAAACAGGAAATGGCACAGTGGACATCGGCATTTAAAAAATCAGCAAACTAAAATGGACTGGAATGTGTGAATTTGACTCAGATGACCAGTATATCCACTACTATGAGCAAGAGTCCTGAAGAAGTAATGGAGTAGCCATGATAGTCAACAAAACAGTCTGAAATGCAATGCTTGGATGCAATCTCAAAAATGACAGAATGATTGCTGTTCATTTCCAAGCCAAACCATTGACAAGCACAGTAATCCAGATCTATGCCCTGAACAGTAATGCTGAAGAATCGGAAGTGGAATGGTTTTCTGAAGACGTACAAGGACTTCTAGAACTGACATGCAAAAAGATGTCCTTTTCGTTAGAGGGGACCGGAATACAAAAGTGGGAAGTCAAGAGATACCAGGAGTAACAGGCAAATTTGGCGTTAGAATACAAAATGTGGCAGGGCAAAGGGTAACAGAGTTTTGCCAGGAGAACACACTGCTCATAGGAAACACCTTCTTCCAGCACACAAGTAAAACCTCTACACATAGACATCACCAGATGATCAATACAAAATCAGTTTGATTATATTCTTTGCAACCAAAGGAGAATCTCTCTACAATCAGCAAAAACACAACTGGGAACTGACTGTGGATCAGTCATGAACTCCTTGTTGCCAAATTCATACTTAAATTGAAGAAAGATATGAAAACCACTAGACCATTCAGGCATGACCTAAATCAAATCCCTTATGATTAGAGTGGAAAAGGCAAGTAGATTCAAGTGATTAGATCTGATAATACAGAAGGCCTGATCAATTATGGACAGTGGTTATTGACTTTGTACAGGAGGAAGGGATCAAAACCATCCCCAATAAAAATAAAGGAAAAAGGCAAAATGGTTGCCTCAGGAGGCCTTAGAAATAGCTGAGAAAAGAAGAGACACTAAAGGCAAAAGAGAAAAAAGAAAAGATAAAACCGTTTGAATGCAGAGTTCCAAAGAATAGCAAGAAGAGATAAGAAAGCCTTCCTTAGTGATCAGTGCAAAGAAATAGAGGAAAACAATAGAATGGGAAAGACTAGAGATCTCTTCAAGAAAATTAGAGATGCCAAGGACATTTCATGCAGCCATGGACACTATAAAGGACAAAAATTTTATGGACCTAACAGAAGTAGGAGATATTAAGAAGAGGTGGCAAGAATACACAGAACTATACAGAAAAGATCTTCATGGCCCAGATAACCATGAAGCTGTGATCACTCAACTGGAGCCAGGCATCCTAGAATACAAAGTCAAGTAGGCCTTAGGAAGCATCACTGCAAACAAAGCTAGTGGAGGTAATGGTATTCCAGTTGAACTATTTCAAAGCCTAAAAGATGATGCTCTTTAAGTGCTGCACTCAATATGCCAGCAACTTCAGCAGTGGCCACAGGTCTGAAAAATGTCAGTTTTCATTCCAATCCAAAGAATGTTCCAACTACCATACAATTGCATTCATCTAACACACTAGTCAAGTAATGCTCAAAATTCCCCAAGCTAGGCTTCAACTGCACATAACCCATGATATTCCTGATGTTCAAGTTGGATTTAGAAAAGGCAGAGGAACCAGAGATCAAATTGCCAACATTTGCTAGATCATCAAAAAAGCAAGAGAGTTCCACAAAAAAAAATCCACTTCTGCTTTATTGACTACACCAAAGTCTTTGACTGTGTGAATCACAACAAACTGTGGAAATTAAATAGATGGTAACAACCTGACCTGTCTCCTGAGAAATCTGCATGCAGGTCAAGAAGCCACAGTTAGAATCAGACATGGAAGAACAAACTGGTTCCAAATCAGGAAAGGAGTACAGCCAGGCTGTATACTGTCACCTGCTTACTTAACTTACATGCAGAGTACATCGTGCAAAATTCCAAGCTGAATGAAACACAAGTTGGAATCAATATTGTCAGGAGAAATATCAAGAACCTCAGATATGCAGATGACACCACCCTTATGGCAGAAAGTGAAGTAGAACTAAAAAGTCTACTGATGAAAGTGAAAGAGGAGGTGAAAAAGTTAGCCTAAATATCAACATTCAGAGAACTAAGGTCATGGCATCCGGTCCCATCACTTCATAGCAAATAGATGGGGAAACAATGGAAACAGTGACAGACTTTAATTTGGGGGCTCCAAAATCACTACAGATGATGACTGCAGCCATGAAATTAAAAGACACTTGCTCCTTGGAAAAAAGTTATGACTTACATAGACAGCATATTAAAAAGCAGAGACATTACTTTGCCAACAAAATTCCATACAGTGAAAATTATGATTTTTCTATTCATCATGTATGGATGTGAGAGCTGTACTATAAAGAAAGCTGAGAGCTGAAGAATTGATGCTTTTGAACTGTGGTGTTGAAGAAGACTCTTGAGAGTCCCTTGGAATGCAAGGAGATCGAACCAGTCAATCCTAAAGGAAATCAGTCCTCAAAATTCATTGGAAGGACTGATGATGAAGCTGAAGCTCCAATACTTTGGCCACCGCATGAAAAGAACTGACTCTTTGGAGAAAACCCTGATGCTGGCAAAGATTGAAGGTGGAAGGAAAAGGTGAAAACAGAGAATGAGATGGCAAGATGGCATCACCGATTTGATGGACATGAGTTTAGTTAAGCTCTGGGAGTTGGTGATGGACAGGGAAGCCTAGTGTGCTGCAGTCCATGGGGTTGCAAAAAGTCAGACACGACTGAGCAGCTGAACTGGGCTGATTTAGTCTAGAAACACATGATGGCAGAAACCTATGGCCAATTCTTTCCTTGCCTTGATCTACAGGGTCCAAGTAAGCAGCCCACATTTCCACCCACATAATGAGCGAACAAGAAACCTCTGCCCTTTCTCCTGGTGTCAGAGGAGGCCAGGTGGGAACCTTGGACTTGCACCCTACAAGGCAGCAATGGAGGCCTGATTAATGAAGGAGTCCAATAACATCCTTAGTCTCAAGATATAAAAGCTCAAGTGTCCAAAACAGTTGAAAATCATTTGTGAGGCCAAAGACCAGGTAAACCTCAAAAGAGAAAAAACAATCAATAGAAGACAACACTGTGTTGACACAGATATTGAAATCATTGGATACTGGCTTTTAAAAATCCAGTCCAATTGGTAGAAACAGAAAATAGATTATTAGAAAACCACATTGTTTAAACAATATATTGCAGATGGCAGAAGGATGAATAAGCTTGAAGATAAACTAACTTTGAAAACAGACTGAAAAGAAAATGGAC